ACCACTATATTCGAAAGCCAAACCTAGCTCTTCATTGTATCCATCTAGGTGTAAACCCTCCAAGAATTTAGGTTTTCGGAGTGGAAATTTTTTATGTAATAAATCTTCGAATATATACCGGCATGTTCTTTCTGGTACATTGGGGCAAATATTACACCATCTGTAATTCTGTTTCATTTTTTTATATGGCGCCTCCCATTGATGACCCTTTTTACATGACCATAAATATGTATTAGGACTAACTTTGCCTAAGCATCTTCCTTCACGTCTCTGGGCATATGCCAGAGCTTTAGTGTCAATTTCATCTTGCATTTTATAGGCGCAATAAAATATCACATACAGAAATTTGGGGTAATGATCACCAGCTCCAGACTAATTTGATCGGAAGAATCAATCTGGATATATACGAAAAATACTAATAATCATCCTCGGGTATATCCGAGACCGGGCTATATGATCGGAGGATGATCTCTTGAGATCGAAGGCCAGAAGATCGATTATAGGAATTGAAGTTAGCCAGTATTATTGCAAGCGAAAAAAATATAAATAATATTGTATAAGTTCTCTTAGCGGATTGTGGGGATTTCGGCTAAGAGTACTATCCATATAATTCATTTAAGTGCTTTGCTTTAACACCACCGGCTCAGTTACACCCTCAAGATGGAAATACCATAAATTACTAATACCATCTAGCGTCTCAATTTCTGATATGTGAGGTAAGGCGGGTATGTTGACAATTATCTCATTTTTTTGCATAGATGAGACTGGGCCGATTTCTTCTGGTACAGACATATGCTCTTTATAACGCATATGATAGACCAATTTCTGAAAGAATAAATCATACTCTTCGATACACTTCACGAGCTCACTAGGATATCTAGCAAAATCAGAGCATATTTTTTCCTTCATTTCGTCATCTACCAAGAGGTTTTTATCTTTTGAAAGTTTTCTAGCGCATTTTATAAATTTCTCCCATATTATCTCGACAGGGTTACTTGTCATGAAAATCTCGTAGCTAAGCCATTCACCATGAAATATTTCGTATGAGCTACCTATCTTTTGATACAATATTTCTTGTGCCTTCTTAACTGCTTCCCTATAGGCTCTTTTATAAATAACTCCACGAGATTTCATCATCTCAGAAGTAATGCCATTCACTACGATATTCTCTTTCACAAACCCCTCAAGCCATAACTTGGCTTTCTTTTGAGCATGGTCATCTATTTGCTTATATTTCTCATCCGGATCCTTAATTTGCATTATTTTATCCGAGGGGGTCGGCTCATGTCTTTTATCATACATGATAAATCGGGCACAGAGACCAATGATAGTTTTTTCGTAATAATGATATAAATCTAACTCCTTACCCAATTCCTTAGCTACGTCCACAAATTCCATTTTCTCGCCTTTAGTTGGTTCTAACTTTCTACCATGTAAATCAAAAGTCGTATCTGGATGAGTTACTACGTAACTAAAGCGCCCACCTGGTACTGGAATCTTAGTATCATATTTTCCTTTCATTCGTCCTATAAAACGCTGAACAGCTTTGTTATCTTTATCGGGTTTCCAAGCGTCAGTCTCTATAAATTGTTCAAAATTCCACTGCTCATGATTAATTATAGCATCCCTGAGAAAGTCTTCAACAATCTCATGGAGTGATTGGACGTTATTAATATCCATAGCCCTTCGCATAATACGATCCCCTATAGTTTTGAAAACTTGGGATTTACCCTGCTTCACAGTATCTATTCCCCTTATAAAAGGCTCTCTTAGTTCGAAGTTAGGGGTCTCTTCATGGTCAATGCCAAAATATTTTTTCTTTCCGGTAAACGCTACTGGAAATAGTACTTCCTCGTAGGCCATTTTAAGATAATCCGATCTGGTCTTGAGCCTGAGAAAAGTGTTCACATCATTGCGCAATTTTTCCATTACATCCATGGTAGTCTTGACCATCTCGGTCCAATACTCTAGTTTAGAGATTTCTCCCTTCCCATCATTATAAGCCAGATCGTGTTTCTCAAAACAGGAATCTAGACAAGTGAGATATAAGGAATCGGTATCACCATATTTCAACCCAAAGCCTTTCCTTCTCACATATTCTGCAACGAGTTTGATATGTTCTCGCCCAGCCGAAGTAACCCTCCCGGCAAATTCGAGTATATAGAATGGGGAGTCACTTTGGCCTGTCACACCGTAGAACGAATTCATATATAATTTAACGGCCTTTTGCTTTGAATTTAAAGAACTATGGGCGAAGCAGACTGAATTGTATTCTTTTATAAAATTATCATACGATAAATCAATAAAAGGATCTAAGATTTTAACCATCTCAGCACGCTTCTTCATATTCTCCGTTGAGGACAAAACATCTTTGATTACGTCCGCTATTGAGATAGATCCGCTGGCATCCATTCTACTTTTGACCTTTCCCATATATTCCTTTTTCTTTCCAATGGGTTTTAGTTGGGCTTTTATTTCATTTCGCATTCTCCCCAATCTCTCCAATATCTTTAGGAAAAGACCTTTCTGATTAGGCTTATTCTCATGCCGTATAGTCCAGGCTCGTATAAGATTACCATTATACTTGAACTCGATATTGTGGAGCACTTTATTTTCTCTCTGTAGTTCATCTGCTTCTGAAAGTGTTGAAACCATTTTCTCCGGTGAGAGATTGAATGCCATAATTATGCTGGGGTATAAAGAAGCGAAGTCTAAACCCGTGACAGGTCGTTTATTTTCAAGACTTTTCTTCAGCGGGAATACATGTGCTCCTGGAAACTTTCTAGATGCTTTCTTATCGGGAATTTTTATGGTAAATAGAATGTCCTCCGCCCATGCTTCCGCACCTAATAGATTGGATACTTTCGTTCCTATAGCATAATAATGTGTATCAAATAATGATATATAAGCGATTAGAGCAACTTCTCTGTAATCATTTATTATATTATGTTTGACCATGAGTTCCTGACAACGTAAGGCGTCTATAGTGCAATAATTTGCTATTTCGTGCATATTTCTAGTGGAAGAATCTGAACTCCTATCCTTCGCTTCCGAATAATACTTCCATAATTTGCTCATGGGCAAATCGGCTTTGCTGTCGAGACCACATTCTTCTAAGAAGTATTTGAGTGATCTTTTCTCTGAGCGGGGGAATAGTTGCAACAAACTCGCACAAACATCGATTGGTACACATCCGGGGAGCTTAAGAAAGGATGATTCGAAGCTCAAACTATTGGAACCGAATTTGATATTAATAGATTCGCGACCTTCTGTTTTTCTGAAATTCCTATCCGTTTTCTTCGCCCATTGGTCCCTATGGA